AATGATAGCACGGCGATAATGTCATAATGATACGTAAAATAATAATAATACGCTTAAGCTGCATTGGGACAATGCCATGCCCATGTATGCTTATCTGACGGAGCAAAATCTCCAAGATCAATTCTGGCGGCTTAAAAATCTCTTGCCCCGTGAGCCAGTTCAACCCACAACTGTTGCCCGTCAGGAACCTTTGCATGAACAGAATGCTCAAGTGGCAGCAGACCCAAAACTTCTAATGGACGTCCGTGTCAACCTCTTTCCTCTTGCTGATGGAAACTCTTCCGGCATAGAGCCAATTGGCCCCGAAATTTCAGATCCTCACTCTTCCTCTTCCTCAGTTGCAGATCTTTCCGAAAATCCTGTGTATATTTTGTTTCATTCTATTTATGATGAAATATCTGGCATACCTTTAGAAATTCGGAGGCCAATTAAACAAACAAATGAATCTTTTCCCAAAAATGAAATCAATTTATTAAATGATATTATTTCTATGAAACTTTCATCGGACTGTTCATTACATGAAGTTAATTGTTGTGTCTGTGCTGCCGCTCGAACCTTGGAGGAAATTCACACAGTTTCCAAAGAAAAAACATCTAATACTAAGAACAATACACCAAAGAAAAACCGGTTTCAAGTAAAACTAACGGAAACTAGAAAATACATTTCCTGGATAGAGCTGTTCCTGAAGTTAAGATCATCAGGGAGTCCAATGTCAAAACGGCAAAAGTCAATTTGGAGAAAATTAAAGTTACAATACAAGACAACAAAAGAAAAGGTACTTCTCCAAATTGTCGATTCCCTTAAGGCCAAAATAAAGGTTTGGACTGAAAGAAAGAAAAAATGGGAAAAGAAAAATAAATTCATCAAACAAAATAAACTTTTTAGAAACAATGAAAAGCACTTCTACAGGCAACTGAAAACAAAGGGTGATGGTGAACATGACAAACGGCCTCCCATGGATGCCAATGAAATGTTCTGGAACCAGTTGTGGTCTGTACCCAGCAACTGTAACCTTGAGGCACCATGGGTCCGTGATTATGACCATGCAATGCATGAGAAACTAACTAGGTCGTTTGCCTGAAAAGTGTTATCAAAAAGTCCAAATCTAATACAGCTCCAGGGCCTGATGGCATTTGAAACCGGTATTGGAAACTGTTCCTCTGTGTCCAAACACCATTACTACACTGTTTCAATACTCTCGTGGACACAGGTGATGTTCCTCCATGGTTCTGCAAAGGTCGCACAATACTTCTCCCCAAGCAAGGAGACTTGACTGATCCCAAAAATTCCGCCCTATCACATGTTTGAATACACAATACAAAATATTCACAGGGTGTTTGACAAACCTCGTGTCATCTTACTGCTCTTCCAATGATATAATTTACAGAGAGCAGAAGGGAGCAAGAAAGGGATGTTGGGGGTGCAAGGATCAACTTCTTGTACAGAAAATGATTTTGGAAGAGGCTTAAACATATCACCGCAACCTCTCCATGTGCTGGATTGACTACAAAAACGCATACGACTCTGTCCCACACGAATGGATTCTGAAGTCTCTTGATTGTATTGACATCCCGTAGCGACTACTTGATTTACTCAAGTCTTTAATGAGTTGCTGGTCGACTCAACTTGAGATGTACTCGCAAGGGCAGGTGCAGACTTCGGAATCTATTCCAATAAGAAGGGGAATATTTCAGGGGGATTCCTTTAGTCCTTATCTTTTTTGTCTGTCTTTAAATCCTTTGAGCTTTCTGATCAATAAAGAGGAGGGTTACCATCCCGGACCTCCTCAGCACAGATCCCCAACACCTCTTACTCATCTACTTTACATGGACGACATCGAGCTCCTTGCCAAAGGAGATTCCAATTTGAAAGAGCAGGTTCTCCGTGTCGAGTCCTTTTCTAATGATATTGACATGACATTTGGACTCGACAAATGTAATACTCTTCATTTGAAACGTGGCAAGGTAACTAATGATGGATCGGTTAAGTTACAAGGGGGAGGGGTTATTGAGCATCTTGTGGAAGATCAGGCCTACACCTATCTTGGAATGCAAGTACGAGACAAGCTCCAGAATGCCCAGATTCAAGACAAACTTCGGGCCGAGTACAAATCTCGTTTAAAGAAAATCTGGAGCTCAGAGCTAAATGCTCGAAACAAGGTCAAAGCCACCAATACTTTTGCTGTGCCAGTCCTTTCCTATTCCTTTGGAGTAGTTGATTGGACAAAACAAGACATCCAGAGTCTTGACCGTCTGACCAGAAGGATCATGTCTGATAACAGAGCCCACCACCCTCGTTCCTCTCTTAACCGTTTATACATGCTAATCAATTCTGGAGGTCGGGGTTTGATCCTGGGGAGGCTCTGCATGATAGAATTTTATTGTGTACTTTTGCACATATTTATTTATCGGATGATCCTCTGGTGATGCATGTGAAGACTCATGATGAAAGCGAGGAATTCCACAGCTATTTTAAGCGTGCCAAGGTTGTTGGACAGAATCTGAGATTTGAGGTTGATTTTGTTGATGGCAATGTACTGCTGGACGGTACAGTGATGAAAGTAAACCAGGTGAAGTCCTTCACCAAGTCTGCCCAGAGTCGGTCTTTTGTGGAGAAGCTTTCTGAGAAGCCATTGCATCGTGTGTACATGCAGTGTGTTGAACGGAATAGCGATCCCACCGACTCCTTTGCCTGGATGAAGTCGGCTGGTCTTAAATGTGAAACTGAGGGCTTCCTTTTTGCTGCTCAGGACCAGTCACTTCCCACTCGCAATCGCCTAAATGTGATTCTTAAAGAAAATATCAATATGAAATGTCGACTTTGCAATGAATTCACGGAGACTGTCCAACACCTTGTCAGTGGATGCCCTTCCTTGGCACAAACATCATATCTTAAACGACATGACGGCATGGCTCGTTGCTTTTACTACCGTCTCTGACATGCCTGTGGCTCTGACTCTGAGGTCCATCCATGGTACGAACCTGAACATGTCCAGGGCGTCACTTACTTGAAAGCCTCTCCTTCTGTCTAAACACATTTATTATCCTATCCTGAAATACAGAACTTGTCTGTCCAGGTTGACCGTTGGCTTGGTATAGATAGAGAATTTAGGACATGAAAACTGTGTATGTCACCAGCTATAGCCTGTTAGAATGTGAAGCTTTCTATGAATCCAGACCCAAATTTATCTCAAATAAATATACACAGTTACCTAGTAATATCATAAAATACAACATTGTTGAATAGCAGAAAAATATTTAAAAAATCAAGAAAATTGCACAATTCATATTATAATAGCTAAGTATTAAGTGTGACTGTATATATTTGTGTGCCGAATCTAGTTACCTGCATGTTCATTTCTCATTTCTCATGTTCATACTCATTTTCAAACCCAATGTCTTAATGTCACTAAATATTTGTACAATATAACCGATATTTTGTAAATTACTAATTAATTCGTTTTATGTTAAGAAACCTTTCTCCAACACCATGTCATGTTAAGGTAATTTATTCATGTCCATTCAAACTATAGCATACTGTTTGGATGTATTGTCCAATCAGAATGCAGCATTTTACAATCTAACGTCAACTATTTCTTTTAATGTAAATTATCATCATATATAAACTGTATACTTGTACTTGGACTTGCAAAGACTGGACGGTAGTGGAAGAGACTCATGACACACAGACACGGACCCCGTTCACACTATGCCAGGTCTCATGTGCGATCCCGACTGGCGTAGGCAACGATAGCAGGAGTGCTTGTTATGTTGTGTGTTATATTTGACCCTACAGAGTGGGGTACTGGATAAGAACCTATGTAGCTGTCATGCATGTGTCACGTGTAATGAGTTTAATGAAAACTGTGGCCAGCGGGGACAGCGGAATACCCCGGACGTAAACATTATGATGTCCCACTAATAATACATAGATTCTATTAAATGCAAATATCTTCAAGTATCAAACTGTTTTGCCAGTTCCAAGTGGACTTAACGTAACACGATGCCTTACTATTTGATTGACTGTCTTCTTTGGCCATCTCTTAAATACTCATTAACATGTACACTGCATATCAAAACAGAATGGGGGCGGTGTGGTAGCCTAGTGGTTAAAGCGTTCGCTCGTCAAGCCAAAGACCCGGGTTCGATTCCTCACGTGAGTACAATATATGAAGCCCATTTCTGGTGTCTCCCAACCCGTGAAGATCCGGGTTAGAATTGGTCTTAAGTAACCCACGCTTGTCGTAAGAGGCGACTAACGGAATCGGGTGGTCAGGCTCGCTGACTTGGTTGACACATATCATCGGTTCCCAATTGCGTAGATCGATACTCATGCTGTTGATCACTGGATTGTCTGGTCTGGACTCGATTATTTACAGACCGCCGCCATATAGCTGGAATATTGCTGAGTGCAGCGTAAAACTAAACTCACTCACTCACTCTGGTGTCTCTCGTCGTGATATTGCAAGAATATTTCTAAAAGCTGCGTAAAATTATACTCACTCACTCAAAACAGAATGGTTTGTATGACAGTTAAAAGTATATACACAATGGAATTATGTTGGTACCGTTGACAATCAAAGGAAAAGCTAGGAACTTGACCAATGAAAGCTCAAAACACCAGCCAGACGCTGCAGCTCTATTAACAATGTCAACAAAGCCAGTCAACAAACGAGAGGAGCGTGATAATAACGTTCCCGCGTCAGTAACGACATGATGTGGACGGTCAACAGATCGGTAGAAAGCGTCCAAAGCCCGTGTAAAACACAACGTTTTGCTGTTTGAGTGTCGGTTCTTTTTAACCCTTTACCTCGACTTATTTCAGTCATCGGTGTGCTAGTCCAGGCCAATATTATATATTCACTGGGAATAAGATATGCGGCGTAAAACATCCTTCACTTGTTCTGACCTCAATACAGGCCAACTGTCAGCTGCCCTATATATTCATATACACCACATGTGCTATGACCTTCCGGCCTTTATCAGATATTAGATAGGAGCCCCATCACATGAACAATATCATGTGACAGTCAAGGCATATCATACAGTAAAGAGACACCAAGGCAGTCATGTTTGTCAAAGTCGTGTTGGTTTTAGCATTAGTTTCTGTTACCTACGGAAGAGACAATAAGTATAATGGGAAGCCATATTGCTTCCAGCCTGAGAAAGAAGGGAGGCCAGAGGTCAAGTAAGTACAATTGACTACTGTCATACTTAATATGTACGTATGTACATCATCACGTGACCTATTCTGTCTGACCGCCTCCGTGGTGTAGTGGTTAGAGCGTCCGCCCGGAGAGCGGAAGGTCGCGGATTCGATCCCCGACGCGTTATACCAAAAGACGTTAAAATATGGTACTTGTTGGTTCCTGCCCTTGTACAACAAGGACTGGTCGGCTCGGAGTCAGTACAATGTGTCTGAGTGGGGTATTCATGCTTCACTACGGCGTGGTATCACAGTGGGCTAGCACTATAAAACCAGCTTAAGTCTGGGCTAGTACAAGCAGCCGCACATACACATACACACGCATGCACGTCGTAATATGAGCGAAATATTCTCAAGCACGACGTAAAACCCAATTTAACCTCACCTTAGACAAACAGTTCATCATAGAGTCCTATTTTATGGGGTATTTCACTCATGAACCAAAACCAGGTGTCTATAAACTACATGTATGTTATCTCAGCCGGAGACGAACCTCTCAGAGCGCTAAAGTGGCACTGTGGAACTGACATGAATGAATTGGAGTTTTTAATGATTTTTCGCTCCCCATTAACCTTCGATGTTTCCTTGGAGACCGATCTCTGGTTTCCCACAACTTACAATCAGTGACAGTATCTAGACTATACTATCTGTAATGATATTTGACATTCATACATATTTAAAGTCATAGAGATGTTTATCACATGCTTCCTCTTCAGGCAATCAATACTGTGGTTATCGCCCTTTTAAATCTGCTATTAAGAAGCGATATAAATGCTTATTTAAGTGTCAACTGGTTGTCGCACGTTATATTTCAAACGTTAAGGAAGACATGTCTAGGGAATTTTAATATTTGTTGAATCCCTATTTGACTTGTACCATACATTTCCGAATTTTTATTTAAGTGAACATACTTTCTATGACGCTTCCTTCGGTTGGGCAGGATACGCTCATCCTTTCGCAAACACCTGGTGTCATCATTATTTGATAGTAAGCATATGCCCTGTCACCGTATCTCATGGTGTCAATCACTTAATTGTATAGCCCAGATTCGATGGTTTACAGACCACGTTGTAAAGCTGTAATACTGTTGAATATGGCGTCAGCTAGTGATTAAGTCAGAAATGCAGAGATTTCTTATGGGTGTGGACAGGGTTTTGTCGTTTCTATTTCTATGCATTTGGTTTCAGGACCCACCCTAGAGCCTTTGAGCAGCCGTTGAAAGCATTGCCCAAATCCTGGGATTGGCGTAATGTGAACGGAACTAACTACTGTGGTACAACTCGCAACCAACACATTCCGCAGTGTAAGTGGGGACTAATGCTCGCTGCCCAGAAAACATTGATGTGTTAAAATAGTATAGTGTGTCATTTCAAAGAATACAACGTGTTTCCTCTTTCTCGGTTTCTCACATACTGACCCAACCCAACTAGAAGGTATTTATGGGGCTCCTCTTCTCTTTGCCCTTTGTTGCCAATTTGATTAATTTCATCAAGTCATAATAATAATGATATAAATGTGAATTTATGATGCGCCTTTTCCACGTACAAGGCACATGCTCAAAGCGCTAACACGTTATTATCCTGGATAACCCAAGCTGCCTGTTAGGCGACAGAAGGTTAATAGTCACGTGACCTATCCCACCGGGAACACATTTTCTGCAGGGTGAACAGAGGCAATATTTAACAAACTAACTTGCCAAAAGTTAGTACAACTCACCTTTACCGTTCCATCAGTACCAGAAATTTGTTAGCACCGTGATTGTTATATACCTTACTCTGTGACAGACTGTGGCTCCTGCTGGGCCATGGGAGCCACCAGCTCCATAGCAGACCGGATCAACATCAAGAGGGGAAGGGTGTGGCCCTCTGCATACCTGTCTGTCCAGCACGTCATCGACTGCGGCAACGCCGGCAGCTGTCAAGGAGGCAGCGACTACAAGGTATACGAGTACGCCCATAGCCACGGCATCCCTGACGAGACCTGCAACAACTACCAAGCAAAGAACCAAGGTGCTGGGGGAGGGGGGAAGAGTGAGTGAGTGAGTGAGTGTGGTTTTACGCCGCTTTTAGCAATATTCCAGCTATATAAATGGGCTTCACACAATAATCCATGTGAGGTATCAAACCCGGGTCTTCAGCGTGACGAGCGGACCCTGTAACCATTAGCCTTCCCCACGCCCCGGAGGGTGTATAGAGATGTATAGGCCTTAAGTTTCGAACAGTTTCGCTGATACACCAGAGTGTAGTAGGCAGAAAGTGTTTGTTATAACATAATAGAACATTTATCACATGACACAAGGAGGTATTAGGCCTTAAGTTTAAAAATCGCTTATAGGGGTAGTAATGTAGGCGTTGAATCGTTGTATATAAATTTCCGCTTTGACTGCATTTGGTATGGCTATACAACATGTAATGTCAGTTGTCAGCGTGCCGAGTATCGTACAGAACGCGTTACCAACTCTCCGCTTTGACTGTATTTGGTATGGCATATACAACATGTAATGTCAGTGACCGAGTATCGTACAGAACGGTAGTTACCAACTCTCCGCTTTGACTGTATTTGGTATGGCTATACAATCGCATGTAATGTCAGTGACCGAGTAGATGAATACAGAACGCATTACCAACTCTCCGCTTTGACTGTATTTGGTATGGCTATACAACATGTAATGTCAGTGATCGAGTATCGTACAGAACGCATTACCAACTCTCCGCTTTGACTGTATTTGGTATGGCTATACAACATGTAATGTCAGTGACCGAGTATCGTACAGAACGCATTACCAACTCTCGATTTTCACTGTATTTGGTATGGCTATACAACATGTAATGTCAGTGACTGAGTATCGTACAGAATGCGTTACCAAATCTCCGCTTTGACTGCATCTGGTATGGCTATACAACATGTAATGTCTTTGACTGAGTATCGTACAGAACGCATTACCAACTCTCCGCTTTGACTGTATTTGGTATGGCTATACAACATGTAATGTCAGTGACCGAGTATCGTACAGAACGCATTACCAACTCTCCGCTTTGACTGTATTTGGTATGGCTATACAACATGTAATGTCAGTGACCGAGTATCGTACAGAACGCATTACCAACTCTCCGCTTTGACTGTATTTGGTATGGCTATACAACATGTAATGTCAGTGACCGAGTATCGTACAGAACGCGTTACCAACTCTCCGCTTTGACTGTATTTGGTATGGCTATACAACATGTAATGTCAGTGACCGAGTATCGTACAGAACGCATTACCAACTCTCCGCTTTGACTGCATTTGGTATGGCTATACAACATGTAATGTCAGTGACCGAGTATCGTACAGAACGCGTTACCAACTCTCCGCTTTGACTGTATTTGGTATGGCTATACAACATGTAATGTCAGTGACTGAGTATCGTACAGAACGCATTACCAACTCTCCGCTTTGACTGTATTTGGTATGGCTATACAACATGTAATGTCAGTGACCGAGTATCGTACAGAACGCATTACCAACTCTCCGCTTTGACTGTATTTGGTATGGCTATACAACATGTAATGTCAGTGACCGAGTATCGTACAGAACGCATTACCAACTCTCCGCTTTGACTGTATTTGGTATGGCTATACAACATGTAATGTCAGTGACCGAGTATCGTACAGAACGCGTTACCAACTCTCCGCTTTGACTGTATTTGGTATGGCTATACAACATGTAATGTCAGTGACCGAGTATCGTACAGAACGCATTACCAACTCTCCGCTTTGACTGCATCTGGTATGGCTATACAACATGTAATGTCAGTGACTGAGTATCGTACAGAACGCGTTACCAACTCTCCGCTTTGACTGTATTTGGTATGGATATACAACATGTAATGTCAGGGACCGAGTATCGTACAGAACGCATTACCAACTCTCCGCTTTGACTGCATTTGGTATGGCTATACAACATGTAATGTCAGTGACCGAGTATCGTACAGAACGCATTACCAACTCTCCGCTTTGACTGTATTTGGTATGGCTATACAACATGTAATGTCAGTGACCGAGTATCGTACAGAACGCATTACCAACTCTCCGCCTTGACTGCATTTGGTTTGGCTATACAACATGTAATGTCAGTGATCGAGTATCGTACAGAACGCGTTACCAACTCTCCGCTTTGACTGCATCTGGTATGGCTATACAACATGTATTGTCAGTGACCGAGTATCGTACAGAACGCATTAAAAACTTTCCGCTTTGACTGTATTTGGTATGGCTATACAACATGTAATGTCAGTGACTGAGTATCGTACAGAATGCGTTACCAAATCTCCGCTTTGACTGCATCTGGTATGGCTATACAACATGTAATGTCAGTGACTGAGTATCGTACAGAACGCGTTACCAACTCTCCGCTTTGACTGTATTTGGTATGGCTATACAACATGTAATGTCAGTGACCGAGTATCGTACAGAACGCATTACCAACTCTCCGCTTTGACTGTATTTGGTATGGCTATACAACATGTAATGTCAGTGACCGAGTATCGTACAGAACGCGTTACCAACTCTCCGCTTTGACTGTATTTGGTATGGCTATACAACATGTAATGTCAGTGACCGAGTATCGTACAGAACGCGTTACCAACTCTCCGCTTTGACTGTATTTGGTATGGCTATACAACATGTAATGTCAGTGACCGAGTATCGTACAGAACGCGTTACCAACTCTCCGCTTTGACTGTATTTGGTATGGCTATACAACATGTAATGTCAGTGACCGAGTATCGTACAGAACGCATTACCAACTCTCCGCTTTGACTGTATTTGGTATGGCTATACAACATGTAATGTCAGTGACCGAGTATCGTACAGAACGCATTACCAACTCTCCGCTTTGACTGTATTTGGTATGGCTATACAACATGTAATGTCAGTGATCGAGTATCGTACAGAACGCATTACCAACTCTCCGCTTTGACTGTATTTGGTATGGCTATACAACATGTAATGCCAGTGACCGAGTATCGTACAGAACGCGTTACCAACTCTCGATTTTCACTGTATTTGGTATGGCTATACAACATGTAATGTCAGTGATCGAGTATCGTACAGAACGCGTTACCAACTCTCCGCTTTGACTGCATCTGGTATGGCTATACAACATGTAATGTCAGTGACCGAGTATCGTACAGAACGCATTACCAACTCTCCGCTTTGACTGTATTTGGTATGGCTATACAACATGTAATGTCAGTGACTGAGTATCGTACAGAACGCGTTACCAAATCTCCGCTTTGACTGCATCTGGTATGGCTATACAACATGTAATGTCAGTGACTGAGTATCGTACAGAACGCGTTACCAACTCTCCGCTTTGACTGTATTTGGTATGGTTATACAACATGTAATGTCAGTGACCGAGTATCGTACAGAACGCATTACCAACTCTCCGCTTTGACTGTATTTGGTATGGCTATACAACATGTAATGTCAGTGACCGAGTATCGTACAGAACGCATTACCAACTCTCCGCTTTGACTGTATTTGGTATGGCTATACAACATGTAATGTCAGTGACCGAGTATCGTACAGAACGCATTACCAACTCTCCGCTTTGACTGTATTTGGTATGGCTATACAACATGTAATGTCAGTGACCGAGTATCGTACAGAACGCATTACCAACTCTCCGCTTTGACTGTATTTGGTATGGCTATACAACATGTAATGTCAGTGACCGAGTATCGTACAGAACGCATTACCAACTCTCCGCTTTGACTGTATTTGGTATGGCTATACAACATGTAATGTCAGTGACCGAGTATCGTACAGAACGCGTTACCAACTCTCCGCTTTGACTGTATTTGGTATGGCTATACAACATGTAATGTCAGTGACCGAGTATCGTACAGAACGCATTACCAACTCTCCGCTTTGACTGTATTTGGTATGGCTATACAACATGTAATGTCAGTGACCGAGTATCGTACAGAACGCATTACCAACTCTCCGCTTTGACTGTATTTGGTATGGCTATACAACATGTAATGTCAGTGACCGAGTATCGTACAGAACGCATTACCAACTCTCCGCTTTGACTGTATTTGGTATGGCTATACAACATGTAATGTCAGTGACCGAGTATCGTACAGAACGCGTTACCAACTCTCCGCTTTGACTGTATTTGGTATGGCTATACAACATGTAATGTCAGTGACCGAGTATCGTACAGAACGCGTTACCAACTCTCCGCTTTGACTGCATCTGGTATGGCTATACAACATGTAATGTCAGTGACCGAGTATCGTACAGAACGCATTACCAACTCTCCGCTTTGACTGTATTTGGTATGGCTATACAACATGTAATGTCAGTGACCGAGTATCGTACAGAACGCGTTACCAACTCTCCGCTTTGACTGCATCTGGTATGGCTATACAACATGTAATGTCAGTGACTGAGTATCGTACAGAACGCGTTACCAACTCTCCGCTTTGACTGTATTTGGTATGGCTATACAACATGTAATGTCAGTGACCGAGTATCGTACAGAACGCATTACCAACTCTCCGCTTTGACTGTATTTGGTATGGCTATACAACATGTAATGTCAGTGACCGAGTATCGTACAGAACGCATTACCAACTCTCCGCTTTGACTGTATTTGGTATGGCTATACAACATGTAATGTCAGTGACCGAGTATCGTACAGAACGCATTACCAACTCTCCGCTTTGACTGTATTTGGTATGGCTATACAACATGTAATGTCAGTGACCGAGTATCGTACAGAACGCATTACCAACTCTCCGCTTTGACTGTATTTGGTATGGCTATACAACATGTAATGTCAGTGACCGAGTATCGTACAGAACGCATTACCAACTCTCGCTTTGACTGTATTTGGTATGGCTATACAACATGTAATGTCAGTGACCGAGTATCGTACAGAACGCGTTACCAACTCTCCGCTTTGACTGTATTTGGTATGGCTATACAACATGTAATGTCAGTGACCGAGTATCGTACAGAACGCATTACCAACTCTC